GAAGGGTGAAACTGAGGAAGAATACATTTGGTGTATTGAGCAAACTTTGTGTGCGTTTAAAGATGGTAAACCTCTTAACATGATCCTCGATGATGGTGGTGATTTAACTGCGTTGGTTCATCAAAAACATCCCGAAATGTTGAAAGGTAATTTTCATTTTTATTACGTTATAAATTTTACCAAATATGATAATACTGATATTAATTCTATCATAACTAGATATAAAAGGCATTTCGGAAGAAACAACTACTGGGGTACATCACTTATATAAAATGCTTAAGGAAGGAACTTTAAAAGTTCCTGCCATTAATGTAAATGATTCCGTCACAAAATCAAAGTTTGATAACCTTTACGGATGTCGTGAATCTCTTATAGATGGCATCAAACGAGCAACTGATGTACAAATTGCAGGCAAAGTTGCTGTTGTTGCTGGTTATGGAGATGTTGGTAAAGGTTGTTCGGCGGCTCTTCGTGGTATGGGTGCCCGCGTTATTATAACTGAGATTGACCCTATCAATGCTCTTCAAGCAGCTATGGAAGGTATAACTACTATACAATATTTTGAGTAATTTTTTTGCTCATAAAATATCGAAAAATTAATGTGCAATTCAATAGGTTTCGAGGTGACAACTATGGAAGAAGCATGCTCGGAAGGAAATATTTTCGTAACAGCCACCGGTAACCGTGATATTATCTTAGGTCATCATTTTGAGAAAATGAAAGATGATTCAATTGTTTGCAAGTAATTATCTATATTTCTACAAATTATTATAATTGGTATATACCTTTTACTAAAAAACTAATTAATTATTTGAAATTTTAGCATCGGACATTTTGATATCGAAATTGACGTTGCCTGGCTCAAGCAAAATGCTGTTTCTCATGTGAATATCAAACCTCAAGTTGATCGTTTTACTTTGAAAAGTGGTCGACATATTATCCTTCTTGCTGAAGGAAGATTGGTTAATCTTGGTTGTGCTACTGGCCATCCAAGCTTTGTAATGAGTAATTCATTCACAAATCAAGCACTCGCTCAAATTGCTCTTTGGACGGATCCATCATCCTACCCGCTTGGTGTTCATATGTTACCAAAAAAACTTGACGAAGAGGTTGCAGCAGCTCATCTCGATAAATTAGGTGTAAAACTTACTAAGCTTAACCCAGCTCAATCTGAGTATTTGGGCGTTAAGGAGAATGGTCCGTTCAAGTCAGAGCATTATCGGTACATATATATTGATTTTATTAATATATTTTTTATAAAATATTTTTATGATAAAGATACATATTTAATAACAATTATTTAAATTTACAGCTATTAAATAACAAAAGGGCGATATCCTTGCAAAAGGTTAATTTATAACTTATAATAATAAAGAATTTGGTTAAAATTTCCCGTATCATGTTGTTCTAAGTGAATTATAATGATAACCCAATCCATACATGTAGCGATGAAATCTTTAAAAGAGTTAATTATAATAATAATGTTCATCTTATGAATATTTAATAAATGTTATTAAAGGATACGATAAGAGAATTGGGTCCTTATCAAAAAATATATCATCTGACATTTTTAAAATCGGCGAACTCATTTGTACAACATGTATAGGGACCTTGTAAACTCTAGAAATTGCGATTATCTACATTGCCAAAATTAAACTTTTTATTCAAAAAAAAACTTAAAAAGGCATAAAACAATAGTTTATAATGTAATCAATTAACATACCTCTAGTTCCCCACCCCACGTCGCAGTCTTCTCTAATTCATCACAATATTTGTGAAATTGTTCTGAAATTATATGCAGTTAGAAAATGGTATTTGGAGAATTTTATCTATTTAACAAAAGGCTAATTGATAATCCAATGATGTGCAAACACAATCTCTACCCAAACTATATATTTCACCGTCTTTCGTGTTTTTCGTGTTAGATAAAAATGGTATAAAATCATCAGGGTGTTGTCGCATATACATTGCGGCTTTATGTCTCACTTCTTGATAATTCACCTATCACAAAAGAGAATGAATAAAAAATCACATAAACATAATAGATTGACCAAAACCCATACCAAAATATTATGCCTTAATTGTAGCTGATCTGCTATGGCATTATAAAGACTGAATTATCAAACATGAAAAAAAGTAAGATTACTGTATATTTTGCTGGTTAAGCGAGAATTAACGCCATATCTATTTCGGAAGCTCACCAATGACCATTTGCCGGTATCTATAACAATCAAGTTTTATTTTCAATATACGATGTGTGAAAAATGAGTATCAACGTGCTCTAATGATCTCAAAGATCAAATATCTTATTGGTATCACCTCCTCTACAATTAATCCCATAGGTTTAATTAATTCTGTAATTGCATTACGCTCAATCTCTGTCATGTTAATCTGGTTTTTAGCTGCTTCTGCGGCCTCATTCTGTTCCTCGGCAAGTTTAGCCGCTTTGCGTTCCTAAATTCAAAATTATATCATTCAAAAATTCTATTATATCGACTATAAAAAATCCAACTTAAATGATTTCTACCTTTCTTAATTTTTGTCTATTGGATTTTTTTTGCTTATTTGCTATTTCATTGACCAAAGGTGCAACAGGTTTATCATTTTTTTCTTCTTCAATGCGTGTAGCCTCTAACCTTGCATACAGTTGATCCAAAATATCTACTTCATTATCACTCGGTTCTTTGTACTGTAAGTAGGTAATCAATTTAGACCAAGATAATTCTTTTCGAAGCTTAAATTTAGGTTTAAAAAAAAAAAAAAAAAACTTAACGTCTTCATTTGACGTAGATTCAATGACTCTATTTGTTTCCTCAACGATTTCGTTCGTTTTAAGCTCTTGGATCTCTTTTTGTTGTCTTTGACGAAGTTCAGTTCTTAGTTTATTTGCTTCAGCCTGAACTTCTTTTTGACGCTTCTTATCACCTTTTGCTGTCTTTTTTAGCTTGGTAATTTGTAGCTCGAGATCCTTAGATTCGTTTTTATGACGCATGGACAACTCTTCAACAGCCTTTGCAATTGCTTCTGGCTTTTCCATAATTGCACAATTTCTGAGCCGTCGTAAATGAATAAGAGCACTTTATACAATTATATTTTCGAGGACGTCTAAGTCAAGTAGTGTTACACAAAATCGCCAGAACTAACGTTAGACCAATAGAAACTCCGTGAATTTTAACGATCAATTAATCAAATATATCAGATATACAAAATTTTACGTAATTACTTTGAGAGCATATGAATTCTAATTTTCAAATATGTAATGATGAAACTTTTTTTTTTTTTGTTATTATACAGAAAGACCAAAAACAGGAAAAAAAGAAATTACATTTGAAAAAAAATGTCGACTAAATTCAATCGTACATATAAAGATTAAAGAATCCATGTGTATAACAAATAAATTTTATAAACAAAAATAACCTTCAACGATCCCCACAACAGCATGATAATCAAGTACAGCAACAACAGATGACTGAACGACCGCAACAACGACAACCAACGCCACAACCTCAGCAATCACAAACATTACAAATATCACCACAAACGCATCAACATCAGCAACAACCACCACATCGAGAAGATACTGGATACAACTTTTCTACACATCCTTCTCTTTCAGTGCAATCTAATAGCATTTCCCAGAATTTATCACCCAAAAGCATTCAACATAATACAATGAGAATGCTTCCACGTTCCCCCAATCCAGCTATACCTGATACCAATATTCAATCATCAATATACGGTAATCAGAGTCAATCTGTTAACTCTACCAATATAAGTCAAACGCAGGCTGCAACGCAGATCGGACAATATTCTAAAATCAATTCTAAAGATCATTTAGTTTCGAATACTACAATTGCAAGTTTTCCTCAGCCATCGACACAGCCTACGATATCGACGGAATTGTCGTCAACAACTAGCATTCATAATACAGTACTTGATCATTATAAACAGTCACCACAAACAACAAATGATGCTACATCATTGACATCTATGAAGCCTAATCCTCTAATTGGCCATTTAGATTCTATGCAACGAATAACGTCGCAAGAAAATATAAATGATTCTTCAATATTGCCCTCGATAGAAAATCAGAATTCATTTACATCAAATATGCAAATGGCAAGAAATAGCACATCAACTAGTCCTAAAAATATTAACCTTTCAGAGACCACAAATTTCCCTAAACACCATCAAAACTCTCAAACATCAAACACCGAACTACTTACTCAATCGACAAATAATATTAAACAGCACACATCAAAGTCAAATGTGGCAGATGATTTATCGCAAAATTTGCGGTTACCGGTTAGCAGTGGAATAGCTGGACGTAGGGCTGTTACCTCTCGCCAAGTATCCAGACAATCTGAAAAAGCATCTGTAGTCACTCACCCTACACCTACGACATCAGCGCAATCTTCCAATTCAACTTTACCGACACAGACATCAAAACAGGGACCTATTAAACCTCAAAAAGTAAATTATGCACCAAAAACTCGACGTGTGGATAGTTATGGCGGTCTAGATTTAAGAGTTTTTGAAAAGTTTTCATTACCTTTAAATATACCTGGAAT